AATCTTTTTCCGACTTTTTACGGGATCGTTTCCCGATCTGATGCCGTTTTTAGTAAATTCCTCGAGCTAATCGTAAGGTTTTACGATTTACTCGACGTTTTTATTAAAACGTGTTTTTTACGATTTACTCGACGTTTTTGTTAAAAACGCGTTTTTATGATTTCAACGAGAAATCTCGAATAAATCGTATAATTTAGGCAATGTTCGGTGTTTCGTTTAACCGTTGCCGTTTTATACGCCGTTTTATACGATTTCCTCGAGTTCTTTGTCGAGAAAGCGAAGTTTTACGCTTTTTATCGTAAAACTCGAACGATAGGTCGGATCGAGATGGAACGGGAGACATTTCGACCGTGGTTCAGAACGCGACCGTGTCGAAAGACGTAAGTTTCGAATCGGGGATGCGGGAGATCGGGACGTCCAGGAAGTCTTAGTCGGGACGGGACTAGTTCGCCCACCGGCGAACTAAGCCAGCTTGGCTTAGTTCGCCGGTGGGCAAACTAGTCGAGATGGGCTAGTTCGCCCACCGGCGAACTAAGCCAAGCTGGCTTAGTTTACCGGTGGGCGAACTAGTCATGGGCCTCCTAGTTCACGTTTTACGGCTGTTTCGGTTTTTTGCTGTTTCGTAAAACGATTCTCGAGTTTTATAAAACGATCTTCGGGTTTCATAAAACGATCTTCGAGTTTTACAAAACGATCTTCGAGTTTTATAAAACGATTCTCGAGTTTTATAAAACGATCTTCGGGTTTTATAAAACAACTTCTCGAGTTTTATAAAACGATCTTCGGGTTTTATAAAACGGCTTCTCGAGTTTTATAAAACGATCTTCGAGTTTTATAAAACGATTCTCGAGTTTTATAAAACGATCTTCGGGTTTTATAAAACGGCTTCTCGAGTTTATAAAACGATCTTCGAATTTTATAAAACGGCTTCTCGAGTTTTATAAAACGATCTTTAAGTTTTATAAAACGATCTTCGAGATTTATAAAACGGCTTTTCGAGTTTTATAAAACGATTCTCGAGTTTTATAAAACGATTTTTGAGTTTTATAAAACGGCTTCTCGAGTTTATAAAACAATTCTCGAGTTTTATAAAATGATTCTTCGATTTTTATAAAACGACTTCTCGAGTTTTATAAAACGGTCTGCGAGTTTTATAAATGACTTTGAGTTTTATAAAACGACTCCTCGGGTTTTATAAAACTATTCCTTTTGTATTTTTGCGGGGAGTTTTGGCTATTGATTCCGTCGTACCGATTTTGACCCCAACAGAAATCAACTACTGGCTACTGCACCTTTATTGGTGGCAACCTGGTCACATGAAAAAACAAGAAACAAAAGGTGGTCTCATGTTCAAATGCTGAAGAAGAATATAGAGCCATGAGGAAGCTTACAAACTAGTTAGTATTGATCAAGGGTTTTCTCAAGGACTTGGGTATAGAGATCACTACTCCAATCACAATGTATGGTGATAACCAAGTTGCTATACACATTGCTTCAAACTCAGTGTTTCATGAGAAGTCCAAACATATATTGAAGTGGATTACCACAAGGTAAGACATATGGTGATTCAAAGAGTTATCTTGCCATGCTGCACAAGAAGTGAATATCAGTTAGCCGACATCTTGACTAAGCCAGCAAGAACTAAGGTGTGTGAGTCCATCTATCCCAAAATTGGACTCATTGACATCACCATGGCATGATTCCCTTAACCATGGAGTTTCTACTCTTTCTTTAATATGTTTTTGTCCCGAATGGATTTTACATATTAAAGTTTTAATGAGGAAAGTCTTCATGAGTTTCAAGCTTTATTTGTTCCATATGATCAACTCTGAGGAAGAATATTAATCTGAAGAAAAGAAAACATGATGAGATAAGATTGGTCTACATATCCTTGATTCACAAAGCATTCCGTACAGTCCATACATCTTTGATGTACAAGGAACTCAGTCTTGGTATACAAGACTTAGGTACAGTTTTGGTGAAAACTGTACAGCATTGGTGTACAATCTAGAGACTCGCCAAGCTTCTCATTTAGAAACAAATTTGAAATCCACAAGAGGCTCCTAACTGTTGGGACTGAGTTATAGCAAGCAAGTTAAATAAGATAAAAATTACATATTTGCTCTAAGTTTGGAGTCGACTGTGAAAAATCTTGATCCAGAACTGAATTGTTTATACTTGTTCGTCACTAAATACATATTGTATGCATACTAAATCAAGTTAAGGAAAATAAAATCCTTCTCCTATTTTTCTTGTTCTCTCAGCAACAACAACTCCTCTACTCTCTCTCTTCTTATTTTCGAATCAAACTCTGATGTTCTTGACTTGTTCTTCGCTAAACTTACAATGTGTTATTTTCTATATATTAATTAAGAAGCATTACAACATTTTTTGGTAGACACGTGTCATTATGAAAATGTTTTTCAAATTTACTAAAAATAAATATTAATCCATATAAACATATAATATAATTTTTGTTAAACTAAGAATAGATGTATTATTAATGCTATTCATTATTTCCTTAACTAAAATTTACGGAATTACCTAACATGGTTATAATATATATATGATAATTAATTATTTGAATAAAAAATATATTATAAAAAATTATATAGCTTCTATTCTTTAAAAAAAAATTATCTTATGAAAATAAACTAAAAAATAATATTAACTTTATAGCAAAAAAATAGATTTTTCATATACATTTTATTTTAAATTTTAAAAAAACGATTATAAATAAAATATTTAAAATATTCAAATATAATATTTTTTCTTATAGCACAATACAAAAAAAATTATATTATTAATGCGTAAGAAATCATTTAATAGATATTCAAATGAATTTAGTGATGTTTAAATTAAAATGTATACCATTTAAATCTAAAATTGCATTGAACACGTATTGAGAACTTAATACTTTAATGACAAACTTTGCATTTATTTTTTAACGATAATGAATTACTGTAAATTATAAATATCTCACTTTAAAAATGATGTTATCAATGGTTTAAATTTCTTTTTATAAAAATATACAAATGATCATAAAATCATGTAAGTGTAAAGCTTCATTTATTAGATAGCCAAATTAAAAGTATAATATATATATGGTAATATTATTTATTAATTAGAATTTAAGTGATTGTAAATAAAAAATATAATTATTTTATTTAAGTGTTAGCGCTAAATTAATTGTATATATAAGAATTACAGATTTCTTAATTATTCAATATATAGATTTATTCTTTTATAATATACAAGACACGTATTTTTTTCCCCCAATGAATGAAAAAGTCAACTTTATTATTAAAGATAGTTTATTATCTTATACCGTTTAAAATAATGATATTACTGAGATTTCGTGTTAAATTACCAAACATTTTTTATTTAGAAGCACACACTTAAATAAAATTAACTAACATTACTTATTTTGATAATTTGTTGAATTTTTAACATCAAAATCCACAAATTTTGTTAGTTTTTATTTTTTTGAAAAACTGTTTTCTTAAATACTATTATATAAGGCTTTCAAGAATATTATTGGTTTTATCAAAGCATATTTTTAATGCTTTGGATAGTTGTTAAAAATGATTAGCAAAAAAAACTCATTTTTTCAAAATTAAATACAGAATAATTTTTAAAAATTGAGTTATCTCAGGATTTAGCCTAAAACACTTTTACAACCTTAAATGATCAAAAATAATTAAAAGCATTCAAGATTTAAGGACCTGCTTTTTTGTAAAGACTATAAAGAAGATAACTTATTTTCACAAGAATTCAAAATAGTCAAACGTTTTACATCTTACCTTCCTAATACATTCGTTTGTCAGCTTTTATTCTTCTTGAGTTTGATTTTCCGTAACATGCCTGTAGAAAATTAAAATAGTTTTAAAATTGTACAATAAAAATATATATGTGCTATATTATTACTCTGATTTTGCAGAATAAATGTCATATGAACTTCTTACACATCATAATGAATACCTGCAATTAAATCTTCAAGGTTCCATGAATCTCTTTAAAATCACTGTACGTGTATCAATTTTTCCCTTACATGAATTTAAACTCGAACGACACAATCCAGTTGATTGCTTTCAAAGAGGTTTAAAACTATTGCTCCGCTATATCAGTAAAAAAAATTGTTGATAATGAACATTTATGTATTAATACAAATAATGAATGATAAATATTTTGAATGGTTCAGAAGAAAAGTTACGAAGAAACTTGTCAACAACACAATTGAAATTTTAGGAGAGATGAAAAGCTTCGTTCAGCAACTGAAATTGTAGAAAAAAAGTTTTAATAAAGCTAGTGAAAACAATTGTTAATAATTCATTCATTTATACTATAACTAAAAAGAGGTATATCCTGCAGAGGTACTCAAATTGGATCAGGAAAATATCGTGGATTTGTGAGAGAAAAAAACTGTATTAATTATGTTTTTATTTTTTTAATTAATTTTAAAGCACAAGTTCATGTGACAGAATTTGATTGGCCATGTGACTTGTGCTTTAGTATATAGAGGATAAAAATAGAAAATAAGAAAATAACATAAAAAATAGTTTATATATAAATTTCATCTTGCCTATTTGCGTGGGTATTAACCTAGTTGTAAATAAGCGAGCAAATACATCAAAACAAACATCTAACGCAACCTCACGGGTGTATGTTATATGACATTCCTTTTCTCGTCCAGATCCATAGGACTCGCATTTTTATCCAAATAGGATAAGGTTTTATTATCTTCTTATGCCAAAAGATGTGAACTAGTTCTTTTTTCTTCTTTTTCTTATCCCTACACCAGTTTTTTTTTTTCCTAAAGCTGTTCAAGCAAAGAAACACAATCGGAACAAATTTATGAATTTCTGGTTTCAGAGTTTCAGACAAAGCATAGTCTTAATAGACCCGTAGAGAAGTTCTTTCTTAAGAAAAAGAAGACATGTTTGGGCTAAAACTAACGCAAATAAGAACCCTAAAAATAAAGACTTCTGATGAGAGATCATCTAGAAAACACTGGAAAGGAGATTAGCAGCGGTGGAAATGGCTGCACCGGTAAGAGCAGACTGAACCACTTGCTCATGGCTTGTCCTCTCTGAGGTCGTCATAGCCATCGCCGCTCCTGTCAACGCCCCAGCCACCGCGCTGTTCCTCTGCGATATATGTGTGGTTACAAATTAATTAAAGAACGTCACATTAACAAGACAAATGTTTTGACAAGACGAATGGTAGCAAAAATTGTTTTCTAAAAAGGACAAATGTTGATTAGACTCACCCAATCATGAGCTCCTCCACGAGCCTCCTTCATACCATAAGTTATCCCCGAGTATAATCCAGCTGCAAGCCCTGCCATACCACAACTCCTAATTAATTAATCTCAATTTATGGCCAAGTTCCATACGGTTAATTAAACATAAATATATGTATTAACTCACCCCACTGGAGAGATTCTTTTCCTGTGTTCTTCACCTGAAGACCAACAAATAAAAACGGTATTACAAGACCAATCGTTAGTCAAAAGCTGGTGAACCGGACTTAGTTGTTGCATTTGCTCAGGACAAACACATTTGGACACATGCTATGTCATAATATGCAAACACACAAGGACAAAAAATGGACATAAATAAATATATAGAAAAGTTAGTGTTTATTTGAAATTAAACTCACCAATGCATCCAACGACTTACTGCTTTCCCCTGAAAATGCAACAACAAATACTATCAACATAAAGCGAATCACAATTTATCACCACCGCGAATCTTAAACACATTAACCAAAACATGGTATTGCAATTGCATGACATAACTAACGAACCTCTGAGATTAGGGAACCTATGTTTCTTGCTACCGTTATTCTCAGAAGGTGGACCCATGCTGCTCGCGTCAAACCCTGCCCCTGGATCCATAATCAAACCTACTGTTTTAGTTTGAACTTACATGTATTTGAATATGGAAGAAGTTGAAGAAAGTAGCCGAGAGTTTACCATCAACCACCGTAAAATAAGCTTCCCTGGACACAGCTTGTAAAGCTCCGACCTTCATAATTAAATCCATTTTGAGTTATCTTAATACAAATATACAATCTTTTATATGAAATATTAAAAACGTACACCGGCGGCTTTGACGAAGGAGTCAGCGATGCGGTTGAGAAGAGGATGGCCAAGATCGAACAAACTTGCCTTCTCAAAGCTCCTTATCTCATCCATTACCTTTCTTCCTCCACTCTTGTCCATTTTTCTCTCTTATCACTTATCTTTCTTTGCTTCTCTGTTAATACTTCTCTCTTCACAACAAGTAAAGAGAAGAATGTGGAACAGAGCTTTCCCACTCCCTTGACACGTGTTCTCCTTCCCCATACGTATCGGAGTCTGACCTTTGAACTTTTCACCGTCCTCCTCCCAACGTGCCTCTTGTTGCTAAAGACTTAACTTCAAAGTTCAAACCGTAGATAGAAGCCCACTGGGCCTAGAGATATATAAAACCGGTTATCTTTTCCTTTTAGATATTTACTCTAAAAGCATCTCCAATGCAACTCAATTTGTTTTTTGATATTTTTTTTTAAATAGTTCTACTATAGAATTGGATTTATTCCAACGATATATCTCTAAATATAATTACTCTATTCTAAACCAAAATATAGAATTGCTGACATGAAATAATGGTTATAAATGTAAGTTGTAGTCTAGTTTATGTGGTAAAAACTGTAAATTTATATTGTAAATTTGCTATTATAATTAGAGTTATTCTTTTACTAAAAGTTATCATTAGTAACTTTTTGATATATAAGTTACAGTATACTTTTTAATAAATTCTAATAAATGTAACAATTGAAATAATGAAATATTTAGTAAAAACAAAGAAAATATTAACATTTAAAAATAAATAAATAGTAATAAGAAATATAATTTTTATCATATATATGTATAAAATAAAATTTGGAAAATTATTTTCAAAAAATTATAATCAATAACAGTACTATTTATTCTAATATCAACAAAAATGAAATAATAATAGCACAAATAAATTTTTTAAAAATGATACTAATAATTTTTTTATAGATTCGTCTTCCAAGTTTAAATAATTCAAAAGTAGGAACTAGAAAGATTTTATTTTCTTAACTAACACAAGATAAGGCTGAATAATATTTTCAAACAACAATATATTTAGATATTTGCTATAGTTGTGAAATTACAACCACAAATAATATTATAATTCTACAATGCAAAAGAATAAAAATCCAAAACACACTAATGTTTTGGAGTTTTGGTTTTCTCAAATTTTTGTAGATAAAAATTAATTTAAATTGTAACTAAACTCCTAAAATATTCAATTTTTTCTTGATGGTTTATTATGTTTTGAGCTAACAATTTTATAAAGGACTGGTTGGTTTGTCCGCATTTGCGGGCATAACTCTCTTATAAATATTTATTAGCTGATGTTTTCATTAATTTAACAACCAGCATAATAAATTATTATTTATGCTTTCAAAAAATACTAATGAAACATCAAATAATTATCAATGACAAAACTCAAACATCGGAAATATTTACAAGAATATATTTTTATAAATATTTTGCTTGATTTATATTTAATTATAATATTTATACAAATATTTTTACTTAATTTATATTTGATTATAACTTTTATATCTTAATTTTAAATTTTATAATAGAAAAACATATTTTCAAGATAACAATATAATGAATAAGTTATTTATTTTCTAAAAATATAATATGAGAAATTTGTTTTAATTATATAATAATTATATAAGATTACAAAAATTGTGATATATAACTAAAAATACCTAAAATCATGGAGAACTTAATAAATCAGCAAATTCACTTCTTAAATAATTATTCTTGAGTGATGATTTAGATTTAATTAATAATAGATAATTTTTTTGTATTTTACTTTTAAATTATACAATATAAAAATATATTTTCAAGATAACAACATATTACGTAAGAATTACCTTATTTTGTAAAAGTATACTATTATTAATGTAAATTTATTTCAATTATAGAATAACTACAATTTTTGATATCTTAATTTTAAATTTCTAATAGAAAATATATTTTCAAGACAGCAACTTAATACATAAGAAGTATCTTATTTTCTAAAATCTGATACTACTAATATAATTTTTTTTAAAATATATAATAAATTATATATATAATTATAGAAATTATGATAAATTATTAAAATTATCTAAAATCATGGAAAATATGACAAATAAAAAAACATCAAATTAACTTCTTAAATACTAATATAGTTTTTTACATGTTAATTTTAAAATTTAGAATAGAAAAATATATTTTCAAGATAACAACATAATACATAAGAATTAACTTACTTTATAAAATATCATTTTATTAATAAAAATTAGTTTTAACTATATAATAAATATTAAAAAAATTAGATAAATGATCAAAATTACCTAGGATCATGGAGACAAATCAACAAATTCACTTTTCAAATAATTGTTTTGATGATTTATATTTAATTATTAATAATATAAATTTTATATCTTAATTTAAAGTTTTATAATACAAAAATATATTTTCAACATAAGTACATAATACATAAGAATTATCTTATTTTAGAAAAATATAAATTATTAATATAAATTCATTTTAGTTATATAATTTTAGTTATATGATAAATATAATAATTTTTATTTTTTAATTTAACATTTAAGTTTTATATATAAAATATATTTCAAGATAACAATATAATTTACAAGAATTATCTTATTTTCCGAAATGATATATTCATATAAATTGGTTTTATTTATAAATAAATTATATATAAATATTAAAAATATGGTAAATATATAAAAATACCTAAACTTATGGAGAACATGACAAGTAAGCAAATTTACTTCTTAAATAATAGTATAGATGTAAGTCAAAAATATAACTCAACTACAACACATGATAAATTAAATTTAAAATCAGAGAAAAAACATTTAATACAAAAAGTATGCTCCTAACTCAAGATAAATCAACAATACCACATGTTACCAATTAAACCACATACATAAATAAGGAGTTTTCCTGGAACACGTGCACAAATAATAATTTTAAAATATTATTGGATTTTACATAATTTAATATATATTTCAGTACTATTATATTTATATTTTAACTTCATTGGTTTGGAAAAATGCTACTGATAGATTTGTGTACTCTTGTTTATATTTATTTAGTTTAACTATCTTGATTAGTAAATTTTAATAAATTTAGGATAACATTTTTATAAAAATGTATTTATTTCTACCATTTTATTTTAATGATAAATTCTAATATAATTTTGGATTTTTTTTTTATTTTAGTTAAAATATGTTAAACTAGTAAAATTAATATGTTAATTAACCTGATATATCGATATTTAAATAAAACTTAATCACTTAACTAGGGGTGGGTGTTCGGATACCCGTTCGGCTTCGAATCGATTTTTCGGGTATTTCAGCTGAGGGGTATAGAACTCGTTCGGGTATTTCTGTAGTTCGGGTCGGGTATGGGTATTTTTAGTTTGGTTTTTGGTTATTTTGGGTTGGTTTGGATATTTAGATTTTGAAATAAATATCTTCTTTTTTTTTAATTTTCTAAGTTTCTTTTATTTAAAAATATAACTCTCACTTAGCTGATTTTTTTTAATAGATTGAATGATTAATAGATTTGGCGATAACATTTCAAAAATAAAAAGACATTGATTTGGTTATTGTTTAAAATTTTGGGGTAACTTTTGTTAATACATAAAACAAGAAGCTTGACATACATTTTAAGTGAGTATTAAATCATTTCTTTCTGTAACTATATGTATATTATATGATTTTAAAGTATGTATAACATATATATATATATTTTAAATAATGTGAGAGATGTAAACTAGAAATATAAGGTTAAGTATACTTATGTTCAGTTATTTTTGGATATTTATACGGGTTCGGATATTATCCGTTCGGGTTCGAATATCCATTCTCACCTAAATCAATACCCGTTCGGGCATTTTGCTATTTCAGTTCGGATTTCGGTTTCAAAATATTTTGGTTCAGGTTCGGATATCGGATAAAATTCTCAAGCCTACACTTAACTATCAACAAAATTCTGATTTGATCACTATTGATTTATTTTTGTATTTGCTAATGTAGACTTACAGTTAATTTTGATTTGGTTAGTATTGCTTTATTTTGTATTTGTCATGTACACTTATAATTAACTAGGTGTTTTGCCCGCACTTGCGGGCTTAATAATTTTACTAATATCTATAAATAAATATATAATCAATTTATGTAAATTATAATAAATTATAGTTCATAGACTCAAAATATTTAATAATAAACTAAACACATTCTTTTTATATATAAAATTTTTCATCATTATATAAATAATTTTCATTACATAATTTATATTTGAAAATACTCATGAACTTAAAACATTTAGTAATAAATTAATATCATTTGTAGACATAACAAAAAAGTATAAAAAATTATCTTTAATAATGTTTTGGATAACACAATATAAATTTTCTATACATAAATTCTTTGCGAATTGATTTTTCATAATTAACTATATATTAACAAATAGAATTAGTTTTCAACGTTAATAAAGACTTTATAACACAATATAAAAAAAGTTAGGTAAAGATAATTATCAAATTCATGAGATTCATTTTTTAATTTAGAATTAATTATATGTTAACAAATAGAATTATTTTTCAAAATAAAGACTTTATCCCATAATATAAAAAGTTAAATAAGGATAATTATCAAATAAATGAAATTCGTTTTTAATTTATAATTAATTATATATTAACTAATATAATTATTTTTCAAGGTTAATAAAAACTTTATAACCCAATATAAAATAGTTTTAGATAAAGATAAATCTAAAATCATTGAAATTATTTTTTATTTATGTTTAATTATATTAATTTTTTTAATTATTCATTAAGGATATAAACGATATTAACCGCTCTAACTTTCAACGTGAAAGTTACAAATTAATCAGCAAATTCACTTAAATTTTATAATTGAAAATATAATTTTAAGATAACAATCTAATACAAAAGAATTAACATATTTTCTAAAAATATAATATTATTAACATAAATTCGTTTTTATTTTATAATAAATTATTAAAACATGAAAATAAGCAAAATAACCTAAAATCATGGAGAAGTTGACAACTAAGCAAATTTACTTCTCAAATAATGTTATAGATTAATAATT